GGGATGACAAAGCCAACAGAGTTAGCCTCGTCACGGGCCATCTCGAATCGAGCTAATACTGAGTCGATTCGCTCGCCCCTTTCGACGCGGAAGTCGATAAGGGCAGTGCCAGAGTTGAGCTGGCGCTCATCTTCCAGATTTTCAAATTTGGTGCTCAGTAAGTACAGTATATATGTTACTGCATCCGTTGGCTGTCCATTGACAGTTACACCATAATTGATGATCTGGGAGGGGACCTGCATGGCGATACGACGAGCAAGACCTTGAAGGCCTCGTTGTAGTGCTGCAGCTTGTTGTGGTGGCGTCATATTGCCGCTCGTTACGTTTATCCATGCATGTACTTCGCGAACGTATTCGCGAAAAGGCGTAGTACCGGCAGGGTCCCATGAAGGGCCAGTAGTACGCGTGTCGTCCATCCCCTGCCGCATGTATCCCACAGCACATCCCATTATTACCCACAGAATGCCGAATATAGTTATCTTGATCCAATGCATGTGCATTTCGGCTTCGGTGATTGGTTTAGGCTGTGGTTTGTCAGGCTCTGGCGTAGTAGCCGTGAGGCGCCTGACTGGCACGGGATGCAGGTGGCCCCGCTGCGGGTAGCCCCGCAGGGTGACCACGTTCTCGATCGAGTTGCCGATTGGCATCTGGTGGAAGTCGGGAGTGAAGTAGCGCAGTGAAGTAGGAGAGAGCGTCTCGAGTTCGCGGGTTGCCCCGCTAGCTCGATCGCGGACTGGCTCCGCTCCTCGCAGAGCCGGCGCAACATGGTATTCCACCGTAGTAGTAGTCCACCAAGTTGTGCCGTGGATTACAGGAATCAGAGCGAGAGCCAGCCACACGAGAGTGTAGCCAGCTCCGCTACCAAGTCGAAAACAAGCTGGTAAGCTTAGGTATGTAGTCCGCCTTAGGCGCTCCCATATCCCAGGCTTTGGCTCATATCGCATGAGCAAGAGAGCGAGACGAAGCATGGGATCTGGAGTAAATAAAGGATAGGATGGGCATCGTCAATGGAAAAGGTATTTTCCGATCTCTGATGCAAGTCGTGCGCCTCAGTGAGGCACAGTCATATATCTGGCCGGGCCCGGCTTGAGCCAGGCACGGCAGCGGTACATGCTCGATTTATACCTCGCCTTTAACCTTCTCCGTTTAAAGTCGACGGCCCGCCCAACAGCACCCGAACACAGTTCAAGGTCACCACCTGAATCTTTCCCGCAGCTTGCAAAGAAGCCGTGATAACGACCACGCGGAAAAAAAAGGGGTCGGCGGATGTGGCGTAAGCCTATAGATCGTAGATGTTACAAGGGTGTTTGAAGAAATGTAGCCTTCTCGCATGTCCGATTTTCCGACGCTCCAAGACGGCACAAGAGAATCAAAAGACCCGAAGGCAGCTCAAGACGCCTCCAAGAGGGCCCCAAGACGATCCACGAGGGCTCCAAGATGGCCCAAAAAGCGCTCAAGACGGCCCAAGACGGCCCCAAGACGGCCCCAAGAGGGGCCAAAGCAGAGGACCACGAACCGAACATGCGACATGCTTGCCCCGACAAACCCTGAGGAGGCCCCAAGAGGCCGCCAAGAGGCCCCAAGAGGCCCCAAGAGTCGCTCAAGACGCGCCCAAGAGGCCTCTGGGATGCCCAAGAGATCCCCCCCCGGAGGCCCCAAGAGGCCCCAGAAGGCGCCCAGACCGCCTCCAAGAGGCCCCCGAGAGGCTCCCCACGATACCCCAGCACAGATACAAGAGGCCTCAGACCCACAACCCAGGCACGGTGGCGGGATGGGCCGAAGGCCACTAGCATCCGCCGCCCCCTTTTGATTCATCAAAGGGGTGCCTGGCGTGCCAGATTATAGTGCTTTTGGTTTTGGCTCTTTTTCCAGAAGAACTCCCCCTGGGGCTTCGTCACGTCCCGCCGGCCACCCGGAAGGTGGTTGCAAACGGTTTTCCTGCCCCAGACGGCCCCAAGATGGCCTCCAAGACGGCCAAGATGCCTCCAAGACGGCCTCCAAGACGGCTCAGATGGCCCCAAGCTGCCTCTAAGAATCCAAGACGGCCCAAGATGTACCATAGACGGCCTAAGATAGCCTGAAGATGGCCCAAGACGGCCCAAGAGGCCCCCAAGAGGCCTCCAAGACGGCCCAAGAGGCCTCCAAGAGGTCCTCCAGGAAGGCCCGAAGAGGCAAAATATAAATTGTCCTTCGGTTTTTGAAGGCTTTTGGCATTTGCGCCTTTTCGGCTTCCCGACGGCCCCAGACGGCCCAAGAGACCCCCAAGATCGCCCCGAGATCGCCCCAGAGGCCTCCAAGATGGCCCCGCGACGGCCCAAGAGGCCTCGAAGATGGCCCCGAGACGGCCCAAGAGCCCCCAACAATCTCCGAAAGATCGCCCAAGAGGCCTCCAAGATGGCCCCAGAACGGCCAAAGAGCCCAAGACGGCCCCAAGGGGGCCCCAGGATGGGCGAAGAGGCCTCCAAGACGGCCCAAGATGGCCTCCAAGACGGCCTCCAGGGCACCGCAGGAGGGCTCCAAGTCGGCCCAGAGAGGCCCACCGAACGGCTTCCGACGGCGTCAGACGAGCCAGGAGCCCACCAAGATGGCCGAAGTTGGCTCGAAGCTGGCCCAAGGCGGCCCAAGAGGCCTCCAAGAGGGCCTCCAAGAAGTCGCGCGGAATTCGAAGTTCCCTCCCTCCGTCATATCGGGAGCATTCACGGGGAGAGCGGCTCCCGGGCGGAGGACACAACGAAACGAGTTGCCGCAGGTAATGCTATGGTACGTGCGCTGGCAAAAGGGTGGTCTCTGGGGACCGCCCATGGCCAGGGTCGCACAAGTGGTGTAAGCCTCACCACTAGGCTACATGTCCTTCATTCGTGTGTGGTCGCGTCCACGCTGTCGGGCGCCAGATCCCGATCTTGGTCGAAAGGGGATGTGCGGCGAATTCATAGGGTCGCCAACTATGGGGTCAGGCGGGCTTTCGGCATGGACACTTGGATCATGAGGGACCTTTCGACAAAAGATGTCGACCTTTATAGGCCGTCCCAATGGCGGACCATGGAAGACCATCTGTTTCGCCTTAGCCTCCAATGGCTGGGGCACGTGGCCCGCATGCCGGTGTGGCGCCGGCCTAAGCAGGCCCTTTTCGGTTGGATAGCCCGACGGAATGGTGCAGAGAGAAGCAACATAATGTGGCAATACAATTACCTGCTCTCTGGGGTACGGAAACTGTCGACTCACGAGATCGATTGGATCCAGCGTGCCCCAACCTTCGGCCAGCAGACCCCAAGACGCCTCCAAAAGATCACAAGAGACCCCAAGGGGCCCCGAACACGCCCATTCCTCACTCTCCTCCTGTTCCCAGTCCTCCCCCACGTGTTCCCCGAAGGCTATCCAAACCGATTCGGGGAACACATAGTCCGAGAGCTTGGCAGGGCTCTGGCCTCAACGTTCGGCGACATAGGCGCTTCCGAAAGGGCAGGGGGCGGCTGTGACTCGCCGAAGGCGTCTTCGATTCGCCGCCCCCTGTTGGCTTGCCACAGGGGTGCCCGGCGTGCTGAACCCTTTCGCTTTTGGTTTTAGTTCTTTTCCCAAAGAACTCTCCCTGGGGTTTTGGCCCGTCCCGCTGGCCACCCGGAAGGGCGCGCAAAAGGTGGCTGCAAAGGGTTTTTCGGCTTCAAACGGCTCGAAGATGGCCTCCAAGATGGCCAAGATGGCCTCCAAGTTCGCCCAAGATGGTCCCAGATGGCCTCGAAGACGGCCCAAGAGAGTCAAGGATGCCTCCAAGTTCGCACAAGAAGCACCTCAGACGGCCCAAGACGGCCCCGGAGGCCTCCAAGAGGCCTCCAAGAGGCCTCCAAGACGGCCCACGAGGCCTCGAAGAGGTCGTCCAGGGACCTCAAGGACGGCCCGAAGAAGTCAAAATCATTGATGTTCCGTAGGTTTTTGGAAGATGTTGGCGTTTGCTCCTTTTCAGCTCTCCGACGGCCCAAGACGGCCCAAGCGGCCCCCAACATCGACCCAAGAGCGTCCAAGAGGCCTCCACGATGGCCCCATGACAGCCCAAGAGGCCTCACAGATGGCCCCAAGAAGGCCCCAAGACGGCCCAAGGTGGCCCCCAAGACGCCCAAGATAGCCTCCAAGACTGCCCAGATGCCTCTAAGATGCCTCCAAGACGCCAAAGATGGCCGTCAAGACGGCTCAGATGGCCCGAAGATGCACCCAAGACGGCCCAAGATGGCCTCAAGATGGCCTAAGACCGCCCTATAGGCCCGCCCGCAAGAGGCCTCCAAGACAGCACAAGAGCCCTCCAAGACGTCCTCCAGGAAGGCCCGAAAGGGCCTAAATCATAGATTTTCCATAGGTGTTTGAAGGATTGTGGCATTGCCTGTTTTTCAGTCCCAGACAGCCTAAGACGGCCCAAGAGGCCCCCAACATCGTTCAAAGAGCGTCCAAAAGGCCTCCAAGATGGCCCCATGACAGTCCAAGAGGCACCCAAGAGGGCCCCAACAAGACGCCAAGACGGCCCAAGATGGCCCCCAAGGCGCCCAAGATTGCGTCCAAGACGGCCAAAATTGCCTCCAAGATGCCTCCAAGACGGCCAAGAAGGACTCCGAGACGGCGAAGATGGCCTTTGACTGCCCAAAAGGCCCGCCAGAGGCCTCCAAGACGGCGCAAGACCCTCCAAGACGTCCTCCAGGAGGCCCGAAAGCTTGGAAAGCACCTGGTCCGATAGCTCGCCCGACCCCGTGTTCCGCGAAGGCTTTCGAAGCCCACTCGGGGAACGCGTGGCCCGATAGCTTGGCCAAGCTCAAACCCAACTTTCGGCCACGCAGGCGCATCCAACAAGGCAGGGGGCGGCGGTGATTCGCCGTAGGCGTCTTCGATAACGCCAACGTCTCAATATGCGCCGATGATTCCCATCAGCTCCGCATGATGTTCCAAGATGCGCCAAGGCAGCGACGACAAGCACCGACGCGACGCTGATATGTTCCATTCTGATACAGAGGGGGCCAACGGGAGGGGGCGAAGCCATTACGGATATCCTTTTAATTCGTCCCCTTCCCACTGGGTCCCTGCGCCCCCCCATGGGCATTACTTAATCGCTTGATCGCATTAAGCCACGACCAGAACAGCAGGAGTCCGAGTAGATGGTGTCCGAGTAGATGGGGTCGGAGGATCGTCCAGCCGCGCCACTGCATCAGCGATGCATAGCGCGAGCAAAATATACATCGGCGCCGTCGGCGTGGAGAAGATGAGGCTCCACATCGAGCCGCATCTCGGATGCAGGCGGAGGAGGAGCAGGAGGAGAAGGAGGAGGAGAAAGAGGAGGAGCAGGGAGGAGGTGAAGGAGGAGGAGGAGGAGGAACGGAGAGAGGCGGAGAGAGGCGGAGGAAAGGGGGAAAAGGAGGGGACCACCTGCACGCCGGCCACAGGCGACCAAGGTCCCCGCAGCCACGGGGGCTCGCCCCGGGGCAGAGGCTGCCCGCTCTCTCGTCACCTCTCGCGCTGCAGGGTGCTGTTGGCCCGCTCCTTTCAGGGGAAGCGTCAATCGCCGCCGAATGGGGGATGGACCGGCTGGGGTCAGGGCGGAACGATTGCTCCCAACCATCCTGTGGACCTGGGTTCTCGCTTGGAAGAGACAGTCCGCGCGTCTCCTCTCCTCGCCTCCTCCTACCCCCCCTCCTCCCGTACTGGCCTCTGTCCTCCACATGCCACCCTGTTCTGCACACCCCTCACACGCTGCGTGGCCGACAGAGAGCTCCACCGAGGGCCTCAGTGGCAAAGTCCACACGTGTCTCCCCCACCCAAGCACAGCGTTTCGTGGCCAATATGGACTGCCACCGAAGGCCCCAGTGGCAAAGTCCACGCGCGTCCTCCCCGCCCAGCACAGAGTTTCGTGCCCGATAGAGAGCTCCTCCCAAGGCCGCGGTGGCAAAGTTCGCATGCGTCTCCCCCATCCAGAGCGCTTCGTGACCCATAGGGAGCACCACCGAAGGCTCCAATGGCAAAGTCCACAGTCGCCTCTTACACCCAGTACAGCGATTCTTGGCGCATAGGGGGCTCCACCGAAGGCCCCAGTTGCAAAGTCCACGCGTTCCCCCACACAACACAGCGTTGCTTGGCCCATAAAAAGCTACACCGAAGGCCCCAGTGGCACAGTCGACATGCGTCCCCCCCACCCAGCCCACCGTCTCGTGCCCGATCAAGAGGGTCACCGAAGGCCACGGTGGCAAAGTCTAGATGCGTCTCCACCACCCAGCAAAGCGTTTCGTGGCCCATGGGAGCGCCGCCAAAGACCCCAATGGCAGAGTCCACATGCGTCCTCCCCACCCAGCACAGCTTTTCGTACTCGACAGGGAGCGCCACCAAAGGCCCCAGTGGCAAACTCCACATGCGTCCCTCACCCAGCACAGCGTTTCGTGGCCCATAGGAAGCTCCACCGACGGCCCGATTGGTGCGTCTCCCCCACCCAGTACACTGTTGCGCAGCCCATACCGAGTGCCCCCGAAGGCCCCAATGGTAAAATCCGCATGCGTGTCCCACCAAATAGAATTCGAATGCGTCTCCCCCACACAGTAAAGCGTTTCGTAGCCAATAGGGAGCTCCACGGAAGGCCCCAGTGGCAAAATCCATAAGCGTCTCCACCATCCAGCACAGCATTCCGTGACCCATATGGAACTCTACCGAAGGCCCGCTGGCAAAGTTCGCCTGCGACCCCCCCACTCAGAACAGAGATTTGTTGCTCATAGGGAGCTCCACTGAAGACGATGCCCACAACTACGGTACTCGCATCTGGAACGACAACTTTCGGACGCGTTCGTCGGTTCCTCCTGCCTCGGAATGCGCGTCAGCAGCTTTTCCTCGCCGAGAGGCATCCAGATCGTCCCGAATGGACGCCGGCGACCTGAGCTATGACCCGAAATTCAAACGACGAGTATCTCTGGGGGGGGCCGGCTCTCCAGGGGGGGAACATCGACCTGGAATCGGCGATACATCGACGATAGCTCGGCGATAGGCCCCCGATAGAGAATCCGCACAGCTCTGAGCGGGGTGGACTGACAGGCCCCTGTCTGGCGACGAGGGGTCGATGCATCCCCTCCTGGAGCCTATCCACCCTGACGTGGCCCGTGATCCTTGAGGTCCCCGGACAGCAGCATCATGTTGATGGCCCTCCTGGCCGTCCTCTCGTCCACGCCGCCGGCGCTCACCAGCAGGCTCTCCAGCTGGGACTTGCTCTTGCGGCCGCCCCGCGGCACCAGCTTGCGGATCTGCTCTTCGGCCTTCTGCAGCTCGTCGCGCTCCTCGGGCGAGATCTGCTCCGAGCCCGCGCCGCGGTCCTTGTTGGCGGAGTCGAGGGTGGACATGGTGAACAGCTCCAGCGCCTCCTTCACGTGGGCCTCCGACACGTCATCGCGCATCTCCATCTTGGCGAAGGCCTCCGACATGCGGATGATGGCCTCGAGCTGCCTGACCGTGATCGGGATCGGGCTCTTCCCGGACAGGTCGCTCCTCATGCGGGCCCTGGTGTCGATGTAGAAATTCTTCAGCATCTCCGCGGAGTCGGGGCCGAGCCTGGGGTTGCAGCGGCCCCTGCAGAAGGAGAGGTACTTCCGGAGCTCCGGCACCGACAGCGGCCCCTCGCGCTCCTCCTGGACCTCGCCCATGTGCAAGCTGGTCATGTGCCTCGCCAGCTCGAAGTCGCGGTCCGGGTCGCGCACGTCCCTGACGAGGAAGATCATGTCGAAGCGGGAGAGGATGGTAGTCTCGAAGTCCATCTGGTCCGCGGTGCTCTGGAGGTCGTCGTATGTGCCGAAGCGCGGGTTGGCTGCGGCGAGCACGCTGCACTGGGTGTTCAACATCGTGGTTATCCCCGCCTTCGCGATCGAGATGGTCTGCTGCTCCATCGCCTCGTGGATCGCCACCCGGTCCTTCTCGTCCATCTTGTCGAACTCGTCGATGCACACGATGCCGCCGTCCGCCAGCACCATGGCGCCGCCCTCCAGGCTGAAGCCGCCTCCCGGCGAGGACACGATGCTGGCCGTGAGGCCCGCGGCGCTGGAGCCCTTGCCGCTCGTGTACACGGCCACGGGCGCGACCTTGTGTGGCATGAGGGACTTGCCGTCGCTCGGACGCCCATTTCCTGTGCCTGTTTCGGTTTCGTGCGTGTTTTTTTTTGCTCGATGGTCCAGGATGGTCCTCGATGGTCCTCGCCGAGAAAAAAAGTGCACACGTCCGAGCGATGCCAGGGGGAAGGGGGCCACGGCCCTGCTGGGCCCTGCCGTGCTGCATACGCTCTCCAGGCCGCGGCAAGGGCGCGTGCACCCATCTGGGGGCCCAGGACGGCGTTGGCACGGGCAGGTGGTGGTGCAGCTGCCTTTTGGAGGATCGGCCCTGGAAAGCCCTCTCCGGGGCTACCTCCCAACCATCCTGTGGTGCTGGGCTCTCGTTGTGAAGAGGCAGAGCTCCGCGTCTCCATTCCTCCTCTCCTCCTCCCTCCTCCTCCTGTGCCTGCCACTGCACTGTGCATGCCCTCATCGCCCTCCTGCTCCTCCTCCTCCTCCTCCTCCTCCTCCTCCTCCTCCTCCTCATCATCATCATCATCATCATCATCATCAGCATCATCATCATCAGCATCAGCATCAGCATCATCACCATCATCATGATGATCATCATCATCATCATCAACAACATCATCATCATCATCATCATCATCATCATCATCATCACCATCGTCATCATCGTCATCATCGTCATCATCATCGTCAGCATCATCACCATCAACATCAGCATCACCCTCATCAACAACAACACCAACTCAACATCATTATAATAAACATCATCATAATCGTCATCATCACCCGCATCATCATTACCATCAGCAGTACCGTCATCACCATCATCATCACCATTATCAGCATCACCATCAACATCATCATCATCAGCATCGTCATCATCGTCGTCATCGTCATCATCATCACCACCATCAACATCATCGTCATCATCATCACCCTCATCATCATCATCATCATCGTCATCGTTATCATCATCAACATCGTCATCATCATCATCCTCTTCATTATTATCATCAACAACATCATCAACATCATCATCATCATCATCATCATTACCAGCACCGGCATCGTCGTCGTCGTCATCACCACTACCACCACCACCATCGCCGTCGTCATCACCATCATCGTAGTCACCATCACCATCACTGTCGTCAGCTTCAGCACACCCTTCACACGTTTCGTGGCCCCAGAGAGAGCTCCACCGAAAGCCCCAATGGCGCAGCCCGCATGCGCATCCCGTGTCCAGTGAAACGGTGCGTCGAAAGTCTCAATGTCGCAGCTCGCATGCGCCTCCCCCACCCAGTACAGCGCTGCGTGGCCCCATGAGGAGCTCCACCGAAAGTTCCAACGGCGCAGCCCGCATGCGTCTCCCCCGCGCAGCACAGTGAGGCCCCAATGGCGCAGCCCGCATGCGCCTCCCCGACCTAGTACAGCGACCCGTGGCCCCTTGGGGAGCTCTCCCGAAGGCCCCAGTGGCGCAGCCCGCATGCGTTCCTCGCACCCAGTGCAACGCTTCGTGGCACCATAGGTGAACTCCACCGAACGCCCCAATGGCGCAGCCCGCATGCGCATCCCCCACCCAGTACCCAGTACACCGCTGCGTGGCCCCATGCGAAGCTCCACCGAAAGTCCCAATGGCGCAACCCGCCTGCGTCCCCCCCCCCACCCCCCACACCGCACAGCGTTCCGTGGCCCCACGGGGCGCTCCGCCGAAGGTCTCAGTGGGGCAGCCCGCATGCGCCTCCCCGACCCAATACAGCGCTTCGTGACCTCTTAGGGGGTTTACATCGGAGTTCCCATTGGCGCAGCCCGCATGCGTCTCCCCGATCCAATACAGCGCTCTGTGGCCCCTTAGGGGTCACCACCCACGGTCCTAGTGGCGCAGCCAGTACAGCGCTTCGTGGCCACGTGGGGCGCTCCACCGAAGGCCCCAATGGCCGCGGCAACATGCGCCTCCCCCCGCCCAATTCAGCCCACCCATCACGCGTCCGTGGCCCTACAAGCAACTCCACCGAAGGCCCCGAATGGCAAGTCTCGCATGCGCCGCACCCGCCCATTGCGGTACGCCTCGCGTGCAGTGGCGCTTAAGATGCAACACCGGAAGGGGTACACACAACTGCGACCTCCTCTTCCCTCCTCCTGCATCAGCATCACCATTATCATCATCAGCATCATCCTCATCATCATCTGCAGCATCACCTTCTCCCTCACTTTCACCATCACCATCACCATCTTCACAATCATCATCATCATCATCATCATCATCATCATCATCATCATCATCATCATCATCATCAACATCATCATCATCATCATCATCATCATCATCATCATCGTCGTCGTCATCATCATCATCATCCACAGCATCCTCATCGCCATCGCCTCCATCAGCATCATCAGTATCATCAGCATCATCACCATCATGTTCAGCATCATCATCATCAGCATCATACTCATCATTACCACCATCAGCATCATCAGCATACGAATCGTCATCATCAGCATCATCATCCTAATCACCGACATCATTCACATCCCCATCCCTATACTCATCATCGTCATCACCTTCGCCATCACCATCCCGTCACCATCGGCATGGCCAGCAGCATCCTACTCGGCAGCGTTGCAATAATCAACACTATCAGCATTACCACCACCACCATTATCATCAGCATCTTCATCAACATCGTTGTCATCATCACCAGCAGCGCCATCATCATCACACTCATCAAGTTAACATTCATATTTAACATCATCCGTATCCACATGGCCGTCAGTTGACGTCAGCATCACCAACGAAATCACCAGACCCAGCAGCATCATCATCATCATCATCATCATCATCATCATCATCATCATCCTCATCATCATCATCATCATCATCACAATAATCACAGTCACTATCATCATCATCGTCATGAGCAGCAGCATCACCAGCAACATCAACAGCACCATCATTATCAGCAGCATCATCATCGTCATCATCACCACTATCATCAGCAGTATCATTACCAACACGATGCGATGCATCACCATCACCATTACCAACAACAACATCCATTCACTCATCCTCAACATCATCACCATCATCAACATCATTATCAGCAACAACAGCGCACCCCTCACCCGCTTCATGGCCCCATCTGGATCTCCACCGAAGGCCCCGATGACAGGGCCCACGTGCGACCGCAAGACGCACTTCGGCGAACCCCTCACACGCTTCGTGGCCCCATAGGGAGCTCCACCGAAGGCCCCAGCGGGAGGGTCCACATGCGTCCGCCCGATCAATTTCAGCACTCTCCCCACACGCCTCGTGGTCCCATACGGGACTCCATCAAAGACCCCAGCGGGAGGGTCCCGCATGCGCCCGCCCGACCCATTTCATCACACCATGTACGCGCGTCGTGGCCGCATAGAGAGCTCCGCCAACGGCCCCAGGGGCAGGGTCCACATGCGTTCGCGCGACGCTCTTCGGCACACCCCTCACGCGTTTCATAAACCCATTGGCAGCCCCACCGAAGGCTGAGTGGGAGGATCCACGTGCGTCCACCCGACCATGTTCGGCACACATCTCACACGTTTCGTGGCTCCATACGGGGGCTCCACCGAAGGCCCCAGCGGGAGGGTCCACATGCGTCCGCCCAACCGACTTCGACACACCCTGCCCACGTTTCGTGGTCCCATCGGGATCTCCACTGAAGACGACTCCCGCAACTGCGTTACTCACACATGCATATGGCTGGGTCCTTCGCCGGGATGTGTTTTTTTTTATCCTGGGTCGTTTTCTGACGGCCCCCGGGCCGTGGGAGGGCCCCGGGAACCAGCAAACGGTGGAAACCTCTTGGGCCCCTGCCCCCCAAGACGTCTTCTTCTCTTCACGGCGACATTGCAGATCGGCCCCTGGACCTGTATTGGGGCGCGTTGTGGCTAGGATTTCGCGTATCCCAGCCATGGCGACGAGAAGACTCCTCCTAGAGTTGTGAAAGTCGGTTAACGGAGAGGAAGCATGCTGCGAAATAATTTCCAGATGTCTAGAACATGTTTCAAACATGTTTTTAATGTAAAAACATGTTTGAAACATTAGAACATGTTTGACACTTCGTAAACACATCTTTAATTCAAGGATAGGATTGTTAGAGTGTCCACTGTCATGGCATCCCAAATCCTGGAGGCCCAAGAGGAGCAAGAAACCAACGAAAAACTCGACCCTCGAAGCCCGATCCTGGAGAGGGCAGGGAGCCGGATCCCCTGGGCAATCCCACGGCGCAACCGCTTCGTCCTGAGTCGTTATTGTGCCTGCGACGGTGAAGGTTAGGAGGCAACTACTGGGAGGTTTTCTTCGGAAAAGGAAGATTACATAAACCCCATTGGGGGGCTGTTATGCCGGAGTGGGCCTCGGATTAAGCCGGATTAAGCGGGATTAAGCGGGATTAAGGCGGATTAAGCGGGATTAAGCAAGACTAGCCCGGATTAAACCGGATTTCGGACCAGGGCAAAAACAGAATTTGACCTCCCAGGAGTTGCATCCGAATGAAGGGGCCCTGGGACACACAAATCAATGAACACGAATTCCAGGATCCCCCCTATTTTTCAAATTTTCTGAGTTTTCGTCTTCCCCCCCACTGCCCATATTTCCCCACATCTTCTGGGGAATCGACGATTCATTGTGTCTGCGTGTTTTTTGTTCCCCTCCCGAGACAGGGGGCCAGAGGGCCCTGGGGCTTCGAACGCAGCGGCGCACCTCGTATCTCCGCCGGGGGGTGTGACACCGCAGTCGCGATACTGCTGTGGATGCCATGACAATGAACACTCTAACACTCCCATCATTGAATTAAAGATGTGTCTTACAAGTGTAAACCATGTTCTCTCTCAAGTTTTTTAACATGTTTAGACATCTGGAAATTACTTCGCAACATGCTTCCTCTCCATTAATGGACTTCCACAACGATCTTGCCAGCTTGCGCTGAGCACGGTGCGCGACGATGACAACGATTCTGGAAAAGGTTTCGCAGAATAGGCAGGATTGCAAGGCGAAGAGCGGAGGGGCGGTCTCATCCAACTAAGGTCGAGGCCGCGGCCGCGCATGCGGCGAATGTGCTGCGGAGCACGCAGCGGCGCAAACAATTTTTTGGTCCGCGGGCGCCAGGGTGTGCGAGACGGTCAGGCTGGACCGGGGGCAAGTACCAGCACGAAGCGGAAATCACCAGGCGAGAAGAAAAGACAAAAACGGAGCCCGATCAGACCGTGTAGGTCGACGCGGGAGTGCCAGGGAACTACACGCAGCTGCGTGCGAGCAGCGGAAACACCAGCGCGAGGCGAAGGCTGGGGTCACTGGATGGCGTCAAAATCTGGCTCGGGAGATGGGCCACACTTGGAAAAGGAAAAGAAACCCTTGGTGACAGATGGCTGAAGTCCCGGTGCCCACTGCGAAAACAGAGCACTCCGGCGAAACTTCGTCTGAGGGAACTGGCCTGGACAAGGATCCCCTGTGGTGGCCGAGCGACAAGCCCAGCGGCACACATGCACACACTTTTGAGCGGTTGCGGCCTCGCGGGCAGCGACGAGGCGCCGAACGTCAAGTCACCCACACACACACACAAACACCCGCACACACACACAAACACACACACACACGCAAGCACACGCACGCACGCACACGCACGCACACGCACGCACGCACGCACGCACGCACGCACACACGCACACACACACACACACACACACACGCACATACACACACACACACACACACACCCGCACGCACGCGCACACGCACACACGCACGCACTTGTGATCGGCGGCCACGCGCCCAACGTCGCGGCGGCCACAGTGTGAGCCCAGCGAGCGGCAAGGCGGCGAGGGCGGACGACGGGCGCAGGGAGGAGCGAGAGAGAAGGCAGAGCGGCGCACACACACACACACACACCTCGAGAACAGCCCCCTGCCTCCAAGATCCTTTAAGAGGCAAGCGAGCCTACCTCGCTTTTGACCACCCTCGCTTCCAAACGAGAGCGAAACGATACCAATCTACCCGTGGGGTGGCCCACAACGGTCACGCTGCTTCACGGGGAGGCGCTTGCCGTGACGTGGTTTAGCCTGGAAGCGAAAGCGGGGTAAGAGATTCACCCACTGATTCACGGCGTGGCCTTCTCCGCGAACTTGAGGAACTGGCTCTTGGCGGTGCCAGGGTCCCCGAGCAGCAGTATGTTGCTGTCGCCCCTCATGCGGGTGCCGTCGGGCAGCCGCTTGCGGGCGCCACCAAAGAGCATGCAGGCCACCCCCCTCTTGACGTTGCCGATGACGTCCTCCAGAGGGACGACCGAGGCAACGTGTCGCGCCCTCGTCTCGCTTTCGCTGCAACGCGACGGAACCGAGACGGAGGAATCCCCGAGGCAGCGGCTCGGTGCACCTCGTGGGTCGCGAGCTCCTGGGTCGCGGGCGGCTCCCAAGCTGGCCACTGGAAGGAAAACGAAACGAGAGTTGGAGCCTTTCGCCGAGGCCTCTCGGGGGTCTCTTGGGAGCCTCTAGGGGGCACCTTGGGGACCTCGTGGGGCTTCCTGGGCACATCTTGGGGACGCCCTGGGGCGTCCTTGGGAGCCTCTGGGCCACCTTGGGGTCACCTTTCTTGGAGGAGATCGATCAAAGGAGGGGGCTCCTTTATTAGGGCGCCCCCCGGAGGCGAGGCTATGGCCAAAACCTTACGTAATAAAATCAATGTCCACGAGGTGACCCTAAGCAGCGTTTTGGCCGGTCCCTGGTCTTTCGAGCTCTCACAGATGGAGGGCGCGATGGACTTCACGATCTTCTCGCGGATGTCGGGGTCCTTTGCGAGATTCGAAAACTTCTCTTCGTCCTCCGGGGATATGTCTATCCCGTAGGAAATGCCCTGAGCCACCTTCACGCCGAGAGCCTGGATGTAGGAGTACTTGACCGTGTTGGTGCCCCTGATGGGGAAACCAACGGATACCGATACCGCGACTCCGCGGACGTCTCCCACGGTGCGTTCTGACCAGAGTCCACCAGCCCTTCAGGGCGTGCCTGTTTTAGGTCGCTTCCTCTTCCAACCCCCTTCTTCCCCTTCGGGGACTGTGTATCTCCGCTCCATATTAATAAACAAACACCTCCCCCACCCGACCGCCGACAATCCCTATGCAGTGCCAATATGCCAATACCCCCAAACCATCTCTGTCGAACAAAAAACATAGTGCACTTCGGACAGACATCAGGACCCTACTCGGGCGCCGAGCGATCTTTATATTGTTTATTGAAACGGGCGACGGGGGTCAAGGGGCCCAAGGACACACAACTAAATACACACACATCCGAGGATTCCACATATGTTTCAGTATTTTCTGGATTTTCGTCTTCCCCCCCACTTCCTATATTTTCCTATCCTTTCCTGGGAGTCGACGATTTCTTGTGTCTGTGTGTCGTTCCCCTCCTGAGGCACACTGCCCCGCGTGCGCAGGCCCACCGCTCCTTTCCGAAAAGCATGCAGAGTGCACGCGGCGTCAAAATCACGCCGCATCGCCCCCGGGAGCCTCCCTTCGGAACCCTCCCTGCACCACCACCCCCGGGACCGCTCCAGGCACCCCCCAAGAGGGCACGTCAGCTCCAGAAAGCGCCCCTGACGACTCCAAGAGCGCCCTCCCTCCCAAACAGCGTCCCCGACGACTCCAAGGTCACCGAATCCGGAGCCCCCCGGATCGGCGGCACTGGCCAGAGGCCATTACAACATCCGACCACGCGCGAGAGCCCCGCGATCCCGTTGCACTGTTATTTGAAAGGGATGAGGGGGGTGCCCTGGCACGCGAGGCGCACCTCGCGGCGTCGCGGACCTGGCTGGCGTCTGCACTGGTTCCCGACCATGGTCAATGACGGCCCCTGCCCATGCTGAGGCTCGAGTGCTACTTACGTGGGGGGGCGCGTGGGAGTGAGCAAGACGCCAGTCCTTCGGGGTGGGAAGCTTGGTCACTGGTCCCCCCTCTCCCCACCCGACCAGCAGCCAACCCAGACCCATGAAGGCACCCATGAGGGCACCACCCCAACATCCCTGTCAAACAAAATGCAAAATGCACTTTGCCTCCAAATCTGGAGCATGCGCGGGCGCCCCGGAACTACTTCCGCATTGGTTTTTGACAGGGACGGCGTGGGCGCCGGCATATTGCTTGCTGCGCGCAGGCCCCCCCCCCACACCATCCCGTGCAAGAGTAATGCAAAGTGTGCTTGGCACCAACATCTGGGTAATGCGCGGACGCCCCGCCACCACTTCGAATTGGTTTTTGACAGGAGCGCCAGGGGGGCAGCATACTGCTTGCTGTGTGCAAAACCAACCTTCCCCAACTGTCTCCTGCAGCAAAAACAAAACAACACAGAAGACCCTTGCACCAAGCTCCGGATTCTGCGCGGACGCCTCGCGCTTACACTACATGTATTTTTGACAGGGGCGACCCAGGTGCCAGCGAACAGGTGGGCTGCTACAGGAAGGGGCGCTAAAAAAGGAACGAAACCCATTTTATGCCCCAAAAGCGCCTGCGTGCACGAGGAGGGCTAGATGACCAACCACGGAACGACCCAAAGAACAGCGAGCCCCTTCCGGACCCAAAGCGATCCTTACTTCAGCGCCTTGACTGTAGGGCATGCTGTGTGCAGGCCCACCTCCTTTTTCAAAAACGTCACAACAAAATTTAACGTTGGGGGGGGGCCGGCGTACTCCCTGCTGTGCCCAAGCCCCCCGCACAAGTGCAAGGAGATCAGGGGCGCACACCCGCACACAACAACCCGCCGTCACTTCGTAATGGTTTTGGACACTGTCCCAAACCAATACTATTATTCACCGCACCTGGACACTGTCCAAAACCGTTTGGACACTGTCCAAAACTGGTCCTGGACACTGTACATCACACCCCACCTTATTATTTCACACCGCCCCTGAGGGGCGGTGTGAAATAAAAAAGTGAGGATGGGGTGGGAGGAAGGGCGAGGGAGGAGGAGAGTAACGTGATCTTCTTCCCGCTCCCTCTCCTGTGCAAAACCCAAGATGCATCAGCCATGCTGCAATTCACACTGCCTGATCGACATATCGCCCGATATGGCGCACCTGGCGCGCGTGGCGCAGCTGGCATGTGCGGCGCACCTCGCGGGCTTCGCGTACCTGGCTGGCGCCTGCATTGGTTCCCGATGGTTGTCGATGGCGGCCTCAGTCGATGCTGACATTCGGGTGCCACTCATGTGTTGGGAGGGCGGGTGGGAATGAGCGACACAGTTTGTTTTTGTTGTGGGAAGCTTTGATCACTGTTTCCTAATGATAAACACACACCCCCAGACGACCGGCAGCCAACCAGGACCAGTGACCCCCCCCCCCTGCCAAAAAACAATGTAGAGTCCACTTCGGGGCAAAATCTTGTGTCATGATCGGGGGGCGGCGCCGAAAAAATATATAGTGTGTCTGGGAAGGGGGAACGGGTGTGCCCGCAGACCGCGCTGGGCCTACATCCATTTCCAAAAAACAAAATGCGAAATGCATGTCGAGACAAAATTTGGATTATGCGCGGGCACCCCGCGATCAATGTGCACTGGTTTTTGACTGGGACGGCGGGGGTGCTGGCACATTGCCTGCTATCTGCAGGCCCGCCAGACACCATGATGGCTACCACGCCGCGATGGTGAGCTGGTTTTCGATAGGTGTGGCGGGGGCCGACACATTTCCCGATGTGTACTGCCACGTGCGCAGGCGCACATGGCACACTCTGCGCGCGCCCCGAGAGTAGCGCACCTGGCGCGGCTGGAGCATGCGGCAGCATGCGGCACACATTTTGTCCGTCAGCGGCGCGGTGAACTCCGCTCCAGCGAGAAGCTAGGTAGGGGCATTGACTAACGAATTGGCCGGCGAGCAAAGAGGGGGGGGGCACGGCCAAGAGGAAGAAGGGGCGCTCAGACGCCGAATAGTTCGACGATAAGCACCAGGGGGAGCAGCAGAAGCCAGGCGCGCAGGGCCAGAGCGCGGTAGGCGGCCGTGGTGAACCACAGTGGCAATGGTGGCGGGGAGCAGCAGCAAGCGGCTGGAGCTGGCGTGGGGCATAGTGGGAGACCGCGAACGACGTACCGCGGCGCCCCGAAGAGAAGGCACAGCACTGAGCCGTTCGGAAGCGGGAACAGCGGCCAGATGGAGCATGCGGCACACATGGCGCACGTGGATCAAGTGGCACATGTGGTGCACCACGCGTGTCTGGCACTCGTGGGCCAAAGGGGTGCCTGGCGCACCTGGCGCGCGTGGCGCGCCTGGCACTCCTAGCGAGCCTCGTCCCAGCGTTGCGCAGGTCTCTTTTGGCTCACATTCGATGTCCATCCAAAGACCACCGCTGAATACGATGCGCGGCTCGGGTGCTACTTCTGTGCTGGGAGGGTGGGTGGGGGTGAGCGAGACGGCTTGCGGGCGGGGAGGGTGTCTTGACCCCTCCCCCTAGCTCCTTCCTTTGGGTCTGGACGGGGCGCTCTGCGAGCGGTCAGAGCGTCCAAGATGGCATCAACGAAATGGCCAATATAACTTGTGTTTTTCTATTCGGTGAACCCATATTGGTCTCCTCGGGGGTAGGTGCCCTAGGCTCCCCCTTCTGTAACATCCTCCAATGTTACCCAGGAGAGCCCCAAGAGGGCCCAGGAGGGTCCCAGAGGCCACCAGGAGGCCCACACGAGCCCTTGAATAGGTCCCAAAGAGGCCTCCGAGAGTCACCCGACGCTCCAAGAGGCCTCCCCAAACCAGCCAGAAGCTCCCAAGAGGTCCCAAGAGACCTCTGAGAGTTGAGGACATCTCCGCTGGGCATCGTGTCTGGATGGAGTGGTGGTGATATTTTTTGTCGCAGCCGCAAGCGAAAGCGCAGGCGGCGTCAAAGGTAAGTCCGGGGCGCGGTCCCTACAAATTATACAGCGACAAGCAAGCAAAGGCGCGATACTGAGCGCGCGATCAGAACCTACCGCCGGGTGAGCAGCTGGCTGAAGCTGAGCTGGGGCACTAGGGGTGGGGACTGCAAGCTGCTGGGGCTGCAAGCTGCACACGTGCGAGACCCAGATGGAGCACCAGGGTGAATTAAACCTGCTCGCCAGGAAGCGTCGTTGTCTGGGCTGTAGAATCACAGATGCTGCGTCAGACCAGCAAGGCTGCACCGCCTGTTGAACTAAAACCCAGGCCCGCCAAGCCAGCGGACAGGAGACCAGAGCCGGATGGGTGCAAGCACTCTCGGATCCAACTGGTGGTGATACGCGAAGCATTCAGAATTTCGAGACGAATCTAGCCGTGGCGACGAGGGCCTCCCAGGAGGCCCACGAAGGCGAACACGAGGGAAGGGTATCGGTATACCATTTCCACCTCTGACCTGTTCCTCGAGCCTGTCATGCCCCCGCCCGCCTCGAACTCGGTCGCGACCGAGATGCCCACCACTGTGAGCCGCGACCCGGGCGTGCAGTCGTCCACGAGGTATTGCGCCACGTACACGTCCAGGCTCCGGGGCATGTCCCCGACGGGCACGTGCTCAGGCAGCTCCTGCAGGCCCAGCACCTGCTCGTCCACGTACTCGCACTGGTCGGCCACGATGACGAACGGGTTCGGGGGACACCTGGAGGAACAAGAACAACTGAAGAACCATGTAAGAGTGAGGGGGGCGAACGGGCATTCACTGTCTCTGGGCGCGTGGCCGAAATCAAATTCCGCGGTGCGGACTGTTGTAGATAATGCTGTTGTTGCGTTGTTCGTCGTTCCGTGTCGTCGTCCCACCCGCGACCTGGCCCGCGACCCACCCGCGCCCCACCCGTGACCCACCCGCGACCTACCCGCGACCTACCCGCGACCCACCCCGCGACCCACCCGCGATCCGCCCGCGACCCACCCGCGACCACCCACCCCGCGACCCGCTCGCGACCCACCCGCGACCCACCCGCAACCCACCCGCGACCCATCCCGCGACCCACCCGCGACCCATCCGCGACCCACCCACATTGCTTTGACAAAAAAAAATCGATGCCTGCGGCGGGCTCGTTGTATGAATTGAAAATTAAGCGACTGCGGCGGGCCTCTTCAGAGCCTCGCAGACTGCCGACGTCCCCGCCGCCCACTCACTCTCATCCGCAACTGCAGGGTGCTACGCATTTTCGGAATCCCCGCGAACTTCTGCTGACTCCTTAGATGTGCGCTTGGCCCCCCTCCCTGGCAAGGGGAGCGCACCAGGAGCGGCGCAAGAGGCGCCGCCAGGGGGATCCAGCGCAGATCCGAGAACATCTGCGCAGACCTCCGAACACTTGTGTGTATAAGACAGGGACGTCTTCGGGCACCTCTCGAGCTGGCCAGCGAGGGCGTTGTTCCCGTCGCACGAGCTCGGGATGTGGCCCGCGCAGAAGCCCGCCTTGACATCGATGGTCTTCATGTTCTCGCAGGCGGAGCACCGCAACACCACCCGGCGCGCCTTGTGCCGGCCCTTCTTGACCCTGACGACGATGCCCTGCAGCACCACCAGCTTCTCCACCTCGTCCGAGTTCATGTCGCGGATCTTCTGGGTCTTCATGGTGCCGAAGTTGCCCTCCAAGTCCTGGGGGGGCAAAGAGGGACCGATACCGCCACACCCCAGAGATCTCCTGGCGTGCGTTCTGACCAGAACCTCCAGGAGTTAGCCAGCCGTGGCGACGAGGGTCCCCCAGGAGGCTCAACAAGGCCGAGCGAGTTAAGAGTAGCGATCAGTACCTTTGCCTGCTCTGAGGTCCGCGTCGCAGGTGAACTGCAGCTGGATCCCAGGCGCCCTGTGGGGCAGCTCCCCATCTGCTGGCTGCCTCTCCACAAGCTCCAGGTAGAGGTCCTGCAGCGCCTTCTCGCAGAGCGGGACGAACTCGGTCGGGGCGGTGTTCAGCTTGTGCGCCAACACCTCGCCGTCCTCATGAGAGCTCAGGTCGCCGATGTCCACGACCAGCTTGTAGAAGCCGCTGCGGCAATTCAACTCGAACTGCTCGCGGTACTTCATCGTCTGCTTCTGCTTCCCCGTGCCATCCTCGGTGTACGCGAACTCCCGGATGAACTTCTTGAACTTGGCAACGATCACGTCGGGCGAAACATCGTGAAACTCGCCGTCCAGGACCTGGTCGTCGCCGTCCTTCCTGACGCCCTCGATGACGCGGACTTGGCCGTCTTCCTGGAACATGGCAGAATGGCCTCCAACGCGCCTGGCCATGACGGATCAGCTCCCGAGAAGAATAATCACCCCCAAGCGCTTCAAACAACAGGAGGCTCGAAAGGACACGGCTTGAACCAACTGGCTGATCACTGCCCCAAGCAGAAGAAGCAGCAGCAGCAGCAGGAAGGCGAGGCAACAGCAACAGGATGAAGAGAAGCAGCATCAGTAGGAGGGAGGAGGAGGAATGGGACTCAGATCAGCAGCGGTAGAAGAAGCCAGAAGCAACAGCAGCAGTAGAAGAACATATCCTCCTCTAAACGCACTGCTGCTCCTGTTTTAACACTGGTCGAGGACGAAGGAGCGAGGTGGGTGATGAACAGCAGCAACATGCAGCAGGACAGCAGGAGACTCCAGTCACGAAGGAGGACGGCCAGAAGGAGGACTCCATGGAGGGCACCCAGGCGGAAGGGCGGGACAAGCAGCAGGGGGGAGTGCGGCAACTCCAGGGGCGCCCGAATCCTGCTCGAGACGTGCCGTTGCTCCTCCTCTCCCCCCTCCGCCGGGCAGCACAGCCTGCCCGGAACCAGAGTGGCGGCGCGTGGGGCACGAGCAGCTCGGCGTCAAAGTGGGCGCGCTGACTCCGTACTGCCAGAACCGGCGAGTTGCCCCGAAGAGCCCTCCAAGATGGGATGCAGGAGAGTGACAGGGATCAGAGGCAGGAGAGCTCTGGGCGAGAATGGTGGAGGAGAGGGAGGAGGATCAGGAGGGGCGAGTAGGAGACGCAGCAGCGGCAGGGGTCTGACGCCTACACGGGACGTGTTGCTGCGGCTGCTCCTCAGCCGCTGCATCCTCATCCTCCACCTTGCAGTGTGGAGGAGAGGAGACGTGAGGAGAGGGATTATGATGCTGATGTTGATGATGATGATGATGCTGCTGCTGATGATGACGGCGATTATGATGATGCTGATGATGATGGTGATGATGACGAGGATGATGATACTGCTGATGAACATGATGGTGGTGATGATGATGATGATGATGATGATGATGATGATGATGATGAGATGTGAGGGAAGGAGTGCGAGAACGAGGGACGAAGAGATACGAACCGTCCTATAGAAGTGATGATACTGTTTCTCCTCACCCAAGCTAGGGGAACGAGGGAGGAAGAGGAACTGGAGCAAGGGCCAAGGAGGGCGAGGATAATGATGCACAGGATGCAGACGGGGTGCATCATTATCCTCGAGGCGCGATGTTCCTTCTCCCGATCCAGGGTGAAGCAGCGATGGCGGTGGATGACGAACTCAGAATTGGAATAACAACATGATGGTTTCATAGAAAACCATGGCGTGCTGCCTTTCCAACAGCGCTGGGAACCTTTGGGGCGAGACCACGCACAATACGAATGGTATCGTTAGGGGGCTTGGAAAACGCCTGCTCGAGATCATTTCGAGGACTAACAAGTCAACAGGAAACGCACGTCCCGAATCGCCGTGTTCCAATAATGGGGGACGTAACGGGGCGAAGCACAGGAAGGAGAAATCCACGGAGGGCGGCGACGAGGATGAAGATGAGGAAGGGGTAGGACGACCAACAGTCCTGGCGACGACCCCCGCCATGGGGCAACAAACAAAGAAGGGAGGAGGGAGGTGAAGAGAGAGGGGGGGGAGGAGGCGGCGTCGCCGCCGACATCGTTGCCTCCGCCGTCGTCGACCGCGAAGCTGGCGACGTCTACCTTACGACGTCGTCGTGATGTCTCCAGAAGCCCCCATCCGAGGTCCCAAGAAACCTCCTGAAACCGAAAGCTGGCCAGCAACGCCGAAAAACAGCGATCCACGAATTTTTGGGCGGTCGTCGTCGCCGCCGTCGTCGCCGGCGCCGTCGCCGCCGCCAGCATCGCCGTCGCCGCCGCCGTCGAATGCTGCCGTCGTCCCCCTCGTCGTCGCCGCCGCGGGCGCCCACACCGCCGCCTCGCCATCGCTCGGACGTCCATTCCCCGTGCATGTTTCAGTTTCCCGCGTGGTTTTTTCGCCAAATGATCAGGGAGGCTCCTCGATGGTCCCCCCCGAAGGAAAAAAAGCACACGTCCGAGCGATGCCAAGCCGCCGCCGCCGCTTTCGACGTCGTTGTTGTCGTCGCCGTCGTCGTCGCTCGCTCGCCGCCGTCGTCGCCCGTGGCCGCCCGTCGTGGCCGGCGGGGCGCGGGTGGCCTGGGCGCCGCCGGCGGAGTCCGACGCGGGTGCCCAGGACAGCGCGTCGGCGGCCTCGTGGCGCACCTGCCACGAGGGGTCCCGCAGCATGGACAGGGCCTGCGGCCAGGACGGGGCTGGACGGGGGACGAGGCAAAGAGGAAAAAGGAAATGGGGGAGGAGGAGGGACGACAAGGCACAAGGAGAAGGGGGTATGGCCGGCCCCTCTTCCTCCCTTTTGTCCTCCGTTTCCTCCCTCCGGCACCACGGCCACTCAGTGTGAGCACTGTCCCCCCCTGTCTCAGATCAGGTCCAACGGTGGTACCGCCTCAGATGCACGTTTGAACACTACATGTACAGCATCAGATAAATGTATAGGTAAGGTATGTGTGTATGCATGTATCCATGCATGCATGTATGTATGTTTGTGTGTATGTATGTATGGATGTATGCAGATGTGTGGGTATGCATGTATGCATGCATGCATGCATGTCTGTCTGTCTGCCTGTCTGTCTGTCTGTCTGTCTGTATGCATGCATGTATGTATGTATGTGTGTATTATGTGTGTATGTGTGTATGTATGTATGTATGTATGTATGTATGTGTATGTATGTGTATGTATGTATGTATGTGTGCATGTATGCATGTATGTACGTATGTATGCATGCATACATGCATGCATGCATGCATGCATGCATGTATGTATGTATGTAGGTAGGTATGTATGTATGTGCGCATGTATGCATGCATGTATGTATGCAAGCATGCATGCATGTATGTATGTATGCATGCATGTATGTATGTATGTATGTAAGTGTGTATGTGTGTATGCATGTATGTGTGGGTATGTGTGCATGCATGTATGCATGTATGCATGTATGCATGCATGTATGCGTGTATGTATGTATGCATGTATGCATGTCTGGTTGTATGTATGTGTGTATGTAGGTCGGTACGTGCATGCATGTATGTATGTATGCATCTATGCAGACATGCACGTATGTATGTATATGCCGTCCTTCCCTTTTTGCGCGCTCCACCAGGGAAATTCTTAGGTCCAGACACCCTGGGGGCCAGACGGCCAGACCCCTCGGGCAACCTCGGGCTGGCCCGACCCCTGCACTGCCGACCCTGGCTCCGCCAGGCCGCAGCTAGGGCCGAGCCTACCCCGAGGACCCAGGGGTCTTACGCCGTCTGGCACTCTCGAGTCTGGCACCTCACGCGGAGGCGGTAACGCCACGCGTGAGCTCAGCTCCGAGAGGAGACAATAGTCCCTGTCTTTGGGTGGGGCCATCAAGCTACGGAAAGAGCGCAGCATCAACGGCACCGCGCGCGCCCAGGTGGACTAGCATAGACCCCCTTTTAAGGATACCATATGCCGTCCTTCCCTTTTTGCGCGCTCCACCAGGGAAATTCTTAGGTCCAGACACCCTGGGGGCCAGACGGCCAGACCCCTCGGGCAACCTCGGGCTGGCCCGACCCCTGCACTGCCGACCCTGGCTCCGCCAGGCCGCAGCTAGGGCCGAGCCTACCCCGAGGACCCAGGGGTCTCACGCCGTCTGGCACTCTCCACGGACCCCTTACTGGCATAGCCGTCTTGTCACGCCCTTTCAGCGCCAACTCTCTCACCCTGACTCTGGAGGCGAGGAAGGAGGGAGAGCGGGGATGGAAAAAAGACAGGGATGCGAATGAGCTGTTCCAGGTCGCCGCGGCGCGGAGGCGGGCCGCCAGGTGCCTCCACCGCGCGAGAATCAGCTCATCAGGACCAGCTCCGCCGCACCGGCAGGGAACCCCAGGGATTTTCCAAAAAATCTTGGACTTCCCGGGGAGTGCGCCTCGGCCCCCTGTCAGCTCGCCGCGGCACGGAGGCGGGCCGCCAAGTGCCTGCACCGCGCGAGCTGCAGCTCGCTCAGGTTGAGCTGCGTCGCCTCTGCCACGGCGTCCTGGACGTACAGCCTTGCCGTGCGGACCGACGCCCACCTGCCCCGGAGCAAGGTCTGTTCCATGGAGCCATGGGACTTGAAGTCCGCGCTGGCCCCGCCGCGCCTCCAGCTGTACAACGTCAGCTTGGCGTCCCCGAAGCCCAGGAGTTCTTTGACCTGGCTGAAGAGGCGGTGGAACGCGCTGGGCTCCATGCCAAAGCACGCCTCCTCTGGAGCAGCCGCTGCCTTGGCCCTCGCCAAGAGCTTATAGGCGACTGTGCTTCGCACGAGGACGAACTCCTTGGCGCCCGTCTGGTGCTGGCTCTTTGTGCCTCGTAGCAGCAGCACCGCTGACGCCCGAGCTGGGTACAGCTGTACGTCGTTCCAGACGAGCGAGGCCATCTCGCCAGTCCGCATGTACGTGTCGTACCCAGCGGCCAAAACTGCAGCCGCGCCCAGGTGGCCTGTCGCGGCAAATGCCCCCGCGAAGGCTGCCGCAATCAGCGGCCCAATTGGAAGGGCGCGGCCAGCTGGCTCTTGGCGCTACCACGTCCGCGCCAGCCGCCAGCTTTCACGAAGATGCCCGCGCGCCGGAGGGAAAAAGTGTGATACTCCAGCGATGGCATTGTTGATGTCAAACAGGGACCCGTGCTCGCTCCACCGCTTCTCGATGAAGGCCGCAAGATCTGTGTCAACCTGCGCGGGCGTGCATGGTGAACGCCCCTCCTCCACCCAGAAGTCAACGACCTCGTTGACTGCATCAGTGTATCTCTGGAGCGAGAGGGGCGAGATCATGACCTCCCGCAGGGGCCTCGCTCGCGCGGCCAGGCGTCGCGCGAGAGCCTTGGCGGCCACGCTGTCCGCAATGGTGCCCGCCGCCGAAGCTCCAGCGGGACGGCGTATCCGCCGGCATGTCGTCTGTGTCGCAGTAGCCGTAGATCGGGTACCCGCCCGTCGCGAGGTGCAGCGCGTTGAGCCTGCGGAGGGCCGGCTGCAGGGCAAGCGCACTCGAGCGGCCTTTGGTACTGACTGCCGCGATCGCTTGGGCATCCA